AAAGCTGAAATTTTGGGATTATGTTTCCAGTCCAAGTAGAACTCAAAGATTTCAAATTCAGCCCACGGAGGTTTGTGGTTCCCGCGTACGGCCCCCGAAAGGTTCCTGGCGCGAAAATCGCTAGCTCGGGAACCAAGAAAGCTGGGAGGCCGAAAGTTTCAGGAAATGTTCCCAACCCATCTACAACTGCAATCTATCAAATTCAGCCCCCCTTCGTGGTTGCCACGTACGGCCTCGTGAAAATTTTTGGCAGGGAAATGAATAACTCCAGAACCAGGGAAGCTGGGAGGCTGAAACTTCCAGGAAAAGTTCTCATCTCGTCTACAACTTGAATTTTTCAAATTCAGCCCCCTGTTACGCGTGGTGGCTACGCACGGCCCCGTGAAATTTTTTAGCTGCAATTTCGGTAACGCGGGAACTGAGGAAGCTGGGAGCCTGGAATTTCAAGGGAATGTTCCCTGTCCAACTATAGCGTGAATAATTAAGTTCCCGAAATTTGAGGACCAGTATGTATAAGAGGTTTCTAGCTAGCGGAATTTGAGCAATCTTATTACAGCACGAAACACTGCAAAAACGCATGATCGAACGGGGCCCCCAGTGCGCGTCGCCAATGATTATGGTTTTGCACTGCAACGACGGTATGAGAAACTCTGTCTGCGCGAACGATGGACTTTGTCCGGCTTTTCAGCTGTCAGATTTTTATGCGTTTTTGCCGTGCAGCGTTAGAGCGCTGCAGCAGGCAGCAGGAACGCATATTGCAACGACCCTGTCAGTGTGTGTGTGTGTGTGTGTGTATTTTTATATTGTGTGTGTGTGTGTGTGTTCGTCTGTCCGGGTATTTCAACTCGCTAACCGCGCAAGCTTTGAAGCTAAAATTTTGTCAGTGCGTTCCCCAGCCAGGTACCATCCCAGGATCACAGTTTCAACCCTCATGCACGTCTGGGCCCTGCGTACAGGCACGTGAAAGTTTTGGCGCGAAAATCGCTAACTCTGGTACGAGAAAAGCTAGAAAGCTGAAAACTTGGGGGAATGTTCCCCACCCGTATACAACAAAAAGATTTCAAATTCAGCTACCCAGGATTGCCCGGGGCTCATGTAGTTCCCCACCCGTATGCGACAAAAAGATTTCAAATTCAGCTGCCCAGGACTGCCCGGGGCTCACGTGCGGGCGCGTGAAAATTATGGCGGGGAAATTCATAACTCAAGAATGAGGAAAGCTAGAAAGTTGAAACTTTGGGGGGATGTTCCCTACTCATGTGCGACTAAAAGTTTTCAAATTCAGCTGCCCAGGATTGCCCGGGGCTCACGTACGGCCACGTGGAAATTTTGGCGCGAAAATCACTAACCCGGAAACGGGAAAAGT